CTTTTTGTTATGAGGTATCAGCGTGAAAGGGTTTGTCAGGTGGAAAACTGAGTTTTAGTCCACATCTTTTCTGTGAACAACTTGATTGAGAACTGAATTTTTCTAGATGGGAGACATTTAAGAAATGAGGTTTGACCATAATTGGTAGAAGTAATAAAGGACCCACTAAGTAAATTTGTTTAGAGGCAATTCTAAGGTCAAACTGACTTCAAACAATTGACTTTAGAAAATATATTATTATATTAATGTTTATATTGGTTCCAAGGCACAATGATTTAATTCAGTGAATATAAATACAAAGATTTCCTTTCCAAACCACTGAAGACAAAAATATTAGAAATTGGACCCCGAATAGCCAAAGCAATCCTAAGAAAAATAAAGTAGGAGGGATCTCAATACCAGATTTCAAACTGTATTACAAAGCCACTGTTCTCAAAACAGCATTGTACTGGCACAAGAACAGACATATAGATCAATGGAATAGAATCGAGAATCCAGATATGGACCCAAACCACTATGCTCAATTAATATTTGACAAAGGAGGCAAGATCATACAATGAAGTCAAGACAGACTCTTCAACAAATGGTGTTGAGAAAATTGGACAGATACATGCAAAAAAATGAAACTATTGTACATCACCAACTTACACCATACACAAAAATAAACTCAAAATGGATCAAGGACTTAAACATAAGAAGGGAAACCATAAAATACTAGAGGCATCCACAGGCAGCAAAATCTCAGACATATGCCAAAGCAATTTTTTCACTGATACTGCTTCTAGCACAACGAAAGCTAAAGAGAAAATAAATGCAACTTCAGCAAAATAAAAGCTTTTGCATAGCAACCATTAACAAAATAACAAGAAAGCCCACTATATGGGAAAGCATATTTGCAAATGTTATCACTGACAAAGGTTTAATCTCTAACATCTACAGGCAGATGAATGATCCAATAAAAAAATGGGCTATGGACCTAAATAAAATCTTTTTGAAAGACAGAAGGCCAAGAGACACATAAAAACATGCTCAATGTCACTAATTATACAAGAAATGCAAATCAAAACAACAATGAGGTACCATCTCACAACTATCAGAATGGCTATCATCAAATCAACAAATGACAAGATGAAAAAGGGTCCCTGGTGCACTGCTGGTAGGAATGCAGACTGGTGCAACCACTGTGGAGAACAGTATGGAGTTTCCTCAAAAAACTAAAAATGGAACTCCCATTTGACCCAGTGATCCCACTCCTAGGAATATATCCCAAGAAACTATAAACACCAATTACACAGGATATATGCACCCTATGTTCATAGCAGCACAATTTACAATAGCTAAGATTTGGAAACAGCCTAAATGGCCATCAGCAGATGAATGGTACAGAAAACTATGGTACATCTACACAATGGAATACTATGCTGCCATAAGAAAGAAGGAATTCTTATCATTTGCAGCCACCTGGATGGAATTGGAGAACATTATACTAATTGAAATAAGCCAGTCAATGAAAGAAAAATACCACATGACCTCACTCATTCATGGATAATAAAGAACATTATAATCTGATGAACAAAAAGATAAGAGGCAGTAAAGCATCAAACAAACTGTCAAATTATAGCAGGAAGGTTAGGGAGAGGTGTGTGAGATAAGAGATCAACTAACTGTCCTGGTGTGCTAGAGTTCTCGGAGAGAATCTGCAGGTCTTGATTCACTGGCTTGGGCAGTAAGTGCCCCTGGTAGTGCCCAGATCAGAAACATAGGTGGAAAACAAAACAAAACAAAACAAAACAAAACAAAACAAAAGAAACAGAGAGAGAGAGAGAGAGAGAGAGAGAGAGAGAGAGAGAGAGAGAGAGAGAGAGAGAGAGATCAGCTGAAGGACTTGAATAATATAAGAATAATCAACAGATGCAAAATATTGGGGGTGAGAGCATGTATGACAGTGGGGTTGAGGGGACAATGGTAAGATATGTGTATATATATGATACCTTAATAAAAAAAAATAATAGAAATTGAAGCAGTATTATATCCAGACAGCATTAAAAAAAAAAAAAAGAAGCTCAGAACCTTGACAATTTCCATTAAAACTATGCTAAATGTCCTCATAATGTATGGATAGAAAGGCCTCTGGAACAGAATAGAAAGTAGAGAAATAAATCCAACAGCATGTGCAAATTTAGTATTCAATAAAAGTGGCATCTCAAATCAACGAAGAAGAGATGGACTTTTCAATGAATGATGGTGGGGGCTACCTTGATTTTAAAAGAGATAAAAATGGCCGAGACCGGTTTGGCTCAGTGGATATAGAGCGTTGGCCTGGGGACTGAAAGGTCCCAGGTTCGATTCCGGTCAAGGGCATGTACCTTGGTTGCGGGCACATTCCCAGTGGGGGGTGTGCAAGAGGCAGCTGATCGATGATTCTCTCTCATCGATGTTTCTAACTCTCTATCCCTCTCTCTTCCTCTCTGTAAAAAATCAATAAAATATATGAACCAATTATTCACATTATACACAGATTTAATTTTTAAAAAAATAAAACCATGTGAGTATTAGGAAAAAGTGAGGAAATTCTTTTATAAGATGGGAATGGGAAAATCTTGACTAAAAAAAAAAAAAGAACCCTAAAGGAAGGACCCATAAATCTGATTACATAATAAGTACTTTATATATGACAAAACACTGGAAGCAAAATAAAAAGACAATTGAGGAACTGGGACAAAACACTTCATTGTATATCACAGACCAAGTATTAATATACATAATATACAAGGTTTCTAAAAATATAGGTAGCCTACTAACTTATAGAATGATTAGTTTAGTTAGGAGCAGACCATCACAGAAACAAAACCAAGAAAAGTTGTTCAACCTTATTTAGTTATACAAAAAAATACAAATTTAAAGCTAAATTGAGATACTATTTTCACCTAGCCAGGTTGGCAGAACAACTTTGATAACACCCTTTGTTGATAGGTTATGAAGAAACTCCCAGTAATAGCTGACAGGAAAGCAAATTGGCCCTGCCCTGAGAGAGAGCAATTTGACAATATTTAGAGAGCTATATTTACATGTTTAACACCAACCCAGTAGTCTCACTTATAGAATATGTTCCAAGGATACACTAGCAAAGAAAAAACCATATGCACATTAATTATCCATAGCAACAATATCTGAAATGGCAAAAGACCAAAACAAATAGAATTTTCATTGAATAAACAATTGCATTTCTATACAAATACTTAAAAAAAGAGAGAAATATCTCAATATTCTTGTTAATCTCTGAGACATAATGTTAAGTAAAAAAATCAAGATGAAAAAGGTAAACTATATGCTACTGTGCACCTAAGAGGATAGGGTACAATACAGATGTACACACTTGCTTATAGAAAAGAATAGACCAAAAAGAAAACAGGGATAGAAGGAGACAAGGATAGAAGCTAGACTCCTCTAACCAGACCTTGGGTTATAGACTTGAATTGGAGGCAGCAGCTAAGAATACCCTGGAAGTCAAAAATCTCTGAAAAACATATTTCTACTGCCCATACACTTACTGTCCCTTTGGATACATTTATTTCCAAGGATCACTCAAAATACATTTTTAAACATTACCTTTTTCTTCAATTCTTCTTGCTCCTTCTTACTTAAAGTTCGCTTAGCTGTACTCATTTTTCCAATACTGAATGCTTTAAGTTTGTTTTCTAGAAGAGGCTATGAAAAAAATAAAAAAGCATACCTTTACATAGTCTTAATACTAGCTCTAACTTAATAGACCTAAACTGATAACCAAATCTTCAGAACAGACAACTTAAAAAAAAAAAAAAAAATCATTGTAAAAAAAAAAAAAAAAAAAAAAGTGAGAGTATGCTATGCATCAGGTACCTGCATACCTTAAAGGTTAAAATCTGTTGTAAATATATGTTATCTTCAGCTAGCAAAGGACAGCTTCATTTATTAGCTGAAGGTTACCAACATACAAAAGATTTTTTTACAAAAGGCTTCAAACTCATTCAACTTGCTTGTTAGCAGCAAGAATAAAAAAAGCAACTGAGCAGGGAAAGCACAGATGTTTCCCAGTAAAACAAGCAGTATAGAAAATAGACATTTTGAATAAAGAAAAAGGCATACATTTCCATGGTTAAGCAGAAATCTTATAACCAACAGTTCAGGTACCACAAATTGCATCACTTCCTTGTAGAATTCAGTAAATTACCTCAATCTTTTTTTCCCCCCTTCAATGCTTTTCTATTTCTATTTTTTTGTTGTTGTTGTTTTCACTTACAGTTTACATTCAATATTATCTTTTACTAGAGACAAGTACACTGGTAGGATCCCTTGGCCTGACCTGCAGGTATTAGGCAGAAACTGGCCCTCCAAAATTGCCTGAGGGGTCCCAGATTGCAAGAGGGCAATCAATTCTCGGATGATACACCTGGGAATCAGGCTCCTTCCTCTCTGATTCCGATGCATCACCTGAGAACCACAGCTGTCAAGTCACTGCAGCTTGGCAGGTCCTGTGTTGAGCGTCTGCCCCCTAGTGGTCAGTGTGGGCCATAGCTACTGGTTGGAGCATCTGCCCCCTGGTGGTCACTGAACATCATAGCTACTGGTCAGACAGTCGGATGGTCACTTAGGCTTTTATATATATATAGGTTAGTTTCAGGTGTATAGTATAGCAATTAATCACATACTTTACAAAATGTTCACTTCCCCCCTGATATTGTTAGTACCCACCTAGCACTATACATCATTATTACAGTACTAGAGGCTCAATGCACAAAATTCATTCCCCCAGCTGCCAGGACCCCTCAGGCTGCTGGCAGGCACCCAGGACCTGGGATTCTCTTGCAGCCCTGGCTTCGTCTGGAAGAATGTCTGCTCTAATTAGCATATTACATTTTTATTATTATAAATTCTTGACTATATTTCCTATGGTGCACTTTACATTCCCATTATTATATTACTAGAGGCCCAGTGCATGAAATTTGTGCACCAGAAGGGAGGGCTGTGTGTGTGTGGGGGGGTGTTCCTCAGCCCAACCTGCACCCTCTCACAATCCACGACTGCTAGCTCCCAACCACTTGCCTGTTTGCCTGCCTGATTGGCCCTAACCGCTTCTGCCTGCCAACCTGATCAACCCCCAACCACTTCCCAGCCAGCCCAATCAACACCTAACCGCTCCCCTGCTGGCCTGGTCACCCTAACTGTCCTCCCCTTCAGGATTGGTCGCCACCAAATGCCCTACTCCGCTGACCTGGTCACCCCTAGGTGCCCTTCCTTGCCAGCCTGGTCACCCCTAACTGCCCTCCTCTGTTGGCCAGATCACCCCCAACTGTCTTTCCCTGCAGGCCTGTTCCCCCCAACTACCTTCCCTTGCAGACCTGGTCCCTCCCAACTGCCCTCCCCTGCTGACCTGATCGCCCACAATTGCCCTCCCCTGCTGACCATCATGTGGCGGCCATCTTGTGTGAAAATGGGGGCAGCCACCATTGGACACATGGGTGTGGCCATATCATGTGTTGGAATGATGGTCAATTTGCATATTTCCTCTTTATAATAAAGGGCAGAGCTCGGTACATGAAATTTATGCACTGGGGGTTGCCCTCCTCTGCCAGCCTGGTCACCACCTAACCACTCTGCTGCCAGCCTGATTGACGCCTCGGTCGCCTCCAACTGTCCTCCCCTGCCAGCAAGGGTGTGAGGGTCAATTTGCATATTCTTTCTTTATTAGATAAAATTATGTGTATAATCCTATCTAATAAAGAGATAATATACAAATTGACCGTGACTCCAACACATAAGATGGCCACCACACGATGGCCAGCAGGGGAAGGCAGTTGGGAGGGACCAGGTCTGCAGGGGAGGGCAATTAGGGGTGATCGGGCCAGCAGAGGAAGGCAGTTGGTGGTGACCAGGCCGGTAGGGGAGGGTAATTAGGGGCAACCAGGTCAGCAGGGGAGGGCAGTTATGGGTGACCAGGCTGGGAGGGGAGGGCAGTTAGAGGTAACCAGGTTAGCAGTGGAGGGCAATTAGGTGCAATCGGGCCAGCAGGGAAGCAGTTAGGTGTCAGTCAAGCTGGCAGCAGAGTGGTTAGGGGTGATCAGGCTGGCAGGCAAAAGTGGTTAGGGGCAATGAGAAAGGCAGGCAGGCAGGCAGGCAGGCAGGCAAGCAGTTGGGAGCCAGCACTCCTGGATTGTGAGAAGGATGTCCTGTAGGATCAGACCTGAACGGGTAGTCGGACATCCCTTGAGGGGCCTCAGATTAGAAATGGTGCAGGCTAAACCCCTTCACCTTTTCACCTTCCTCCCCTCTGGCAAGCATCAGTCTGTTTTCAGTTCTCTATTTATTGTAGTTTTGCTTATTTATTTATTCTGTTCTTTAGATTCCATGTAAGTGCATAAGGTATTTATCTTTCTCTGACTGACTTATTTAACTTAGTATAATATCCTCTAGGTTCATCCACGCTGTCACAAATTATAAAATTTCATTTTTTTATGGCTAAGTAATAGTCCCTTGTTTATAAGTACTACTAATTTTTCTCTACTTATCTATTGAGGGGCATCTGAAATCACCTCATCAACAATAGTGATGTTTATAAAAATCATTTTCTTTACTGGGAATATATCATAAACAGTATTTCAGGTTTTTGCACAAGTAAGCATTCATCAATTACTTACTTTTGAATGTGAGGAAATAGTATTATCTTCTGAAATATGGTTTGAATAAATTATAGACCTTTAGTTGTTCAGTTAATTTGAATGTTAGCTTATGATTCATAACTTAAAATAAATGTTTATTAAATACAACAGAAAATATTAATCTGCCATTAAATCTGAAGGTTTCATAGCTCCTACTAAAAGAGAAGTTAATCAACTGCAAAATTAGACTTTATCAATCCCAGTTAAAAAGGCTTGCCCTTGCAATATGCAAAATGAAAGAGTAATATTACTGCAAACTATTTTAAAGTTACATTAAATTCCTTTTGAAAAACAAATAAAGCAGCTTATAACCCAAAAGTCAACATTGGATTTCAGGGACAGATTCAAGATAATTTTTTGACTGAAATAGGAAGAAAAATGTTTTGCCATCATTCAGTCAACATCTTAAGTTTCAACTTAAAAAGTTTAAATAAATTATAAAATCACATATAAATGCAATGGAAGACATAATTTTATAAAACAAAATGTTTGGGCTCAATTTTTAGTTATAGCCTAAGAGCTAAACCCACAATGGAAATGGTTAAGATACTTAAGGTCTATTCATGCAAAGAAATGCAATCATCCATTAAAATTTTTGTTTTGCAAAAGTTAAAAAAAATCAGAACTAAAGTCAGAATATTTTTTAAGTATGTTCCTGTAAAATGGATCTCAGGAAAGTAAAACGTTTTTATGCTGAGAAATATTCAAGGAAAAGTTTTTAAGCGTTATCAATATTAATAGGCTGGTGCTAATTATCTTCATTATTGTTTTCAAAATTTAGTCACAAGAAAATATTTAAAACGGAAAAAAGAGCACTTTTCAGACACATGCAATAATGAAGCTCCTTCTTTGGGTTCTCGTATTGCCCTGGATAATGCACTAGCCAATGTGAATAGCACCTGTCTGTCTACTTCCCAAGGCAAGACTATAAGCTGAGAGCAAGAGCCATGTATTTTTTAAACATCTGTGTGTGTGACTGGCATTTGCACATGGTTCAGTAAATGAGTGGTATAAATGGGGGGGTGGGGAGGGAACAATAAATGTGACCATTTAACAATTTTACATCCAAAACACCCGTTGATTTTTAAAAGAAAATTTTAAATAAAACATGCCTCACTTATAACTAAAAACCATTTCCTTGGATGAACTTAAGTTTATCGTTAATTCAAATACAACAAAAAAAAGCTATTTTCAAATACTACAAGATGAAACAAGTACAAAACCAAGATATTCAAGCACCAAATTAAAGGACAGATTAAAATCATTAACTAGCCCTAGCTAATTTTGCTCAGTGGATAGAGCGTTGGCCTGTGTCCTGAAGGATTCCGGGTTTGATTCCAGGTTGTAGACTCAATCCCTGATGTGGGGTAGCCTGTCAATGGTTCTCATCATTGATGTTTCTATCTCTCTCTCCTTCTCCCTTCCTCTCTGAAATCAATTTTTAAAAATTAATTAACTATATTACTTTTATCAACAACTTACTCTTGAAGTATTCTGGTGAGGAGAATCACAAAGACTTTCACGGGCACTTTCATTCCTATAATTATGTTTTCTTGGGCTCTTAGGTCGTGTCCGACTTGGCATATCACTTTCTGTGGATCCAGATGCATCCATCTTTATAGGAATAGGAAAATAAGTTTTTTCATAAGTTTCAACGTATATGTAGTGTTGAAAACTAGAAATAAACCCATTGTCCAAATATTGACAAATTTAATTATACGCTATCAAAACACTCCTCCCTTAATATCACCACTAATTTCATCAGGAAGGTCCTTAATTATGGGGAAAGTTTTCAATGAAAGCTCAAATTTTATGGGGAAAGTTTTCAATGAAAGCTCAAATTACACTTTGGTAAATTGAACTGCCTTATAGGTACTCTCCATTTCATCGTATATAACATTAAGAAGACTCATATAAAAGGACAAAATCTAATAATAATTTTACTGCTTCATCAAAAACAGTCTTAAGAGAAACGAGCATATTTTTCTGTGCCTACAAAAAATAATACAATGACTACTGATACATTTTGGAAACACTGCCTTGATCCATGCTCAGATGCCAACATTTTACCCATCAATTGTTTTTTTCACCCTAAGTGCAAATGTCAACACAGTGAAAAAGGCAAATAATGTGTTAGTGTTATAGTTTTGAACTCACTTACCCCCTGAAAGATTCTCAACTCTCAGGGGTATGAAGACCATACTTTGAGTACCGCTGTAATAACATGTAAAGAATGTTCATTGCAATACTATCCAAAATACCAAAACCCTTTCAAGAAAAAGTAGATAGATGTGGAAGGAGGATCCAAGATGGCTGCTCGGGTAGACACCTAACCGCAGCAGCACACAACAATTTCAATGGAATACAACTAAAATGTAGAGTGGACATCGCCCAGAGCTACAGGTAGTCGACTGACTGAAAATTCTACAACAGAAGGAAAGAGAAAACCAAAAGGAAAATCAGAGGAGCTGAAAAAAAGCCTAAGGTACGGAGACATGCTGCGCACCCGCACACATGTGTGCACGGAGAGGTCGCAGCCGGAGAGGAGAGGGCTGGGTGCTGCCTGGCGTCCCCTAGCAGGAAGGAAATAAAACCCCCAGCTTGGGCTGAACCCCCGAACCGGCAGCGCTGAGCCCCAGTTATGGGCCAGACCCTAGGGACCCAGGCTCCAGCAGGGGGAGATGGGGCTGTGAGGCGGAATCCCAGGGGAGCAGCAAAAAGCAGGGCCCCCGGAGTCGCGCGTACATTGCGCGCAGAGGACTGAATGTTGACTCTGATGCTGGATTACCCTAGCCGGAAGAAACAAAGCCTCCGGCGGCGCTGAGCCTCAGTCTGGACTGCTCTGAACCCCAGTTCTAGGCCAATCCCTGGGGACCCAAGCTCAAGCAGAGGGAGACGGGGCTGTGAGGTGGAGTCCTGGGAGAGTGGCAAAGGCCGGGCCCCCGGAGTCGCGCACATTGCTTGCAAGGGAAGGAATGTTGACTCTGATGCAGGATTGCCCTGGATGGAAGGAAACAGGAGCCCCGGCCGTGTTGGGAACCCAGTTTCGACTGCTATGAACCCCAGTCCTAGGCCAGACCCTGGGGAGCCAGGCTCAGGCAGGGGGAGACGGGACTGGGAGGCGGAATCCCAGGGGAGCGGCGAAAAGGGGAGCCCCCAGTCATGCACACTGCATGCAGAGGACAGTCTGTTGACTCTGATGCTAGACGCCCCTAGGGGGAAGGAGGAAAAAAGCTCCAGACTGGAGGAATGTGACAGGGAGCAGGAGCCGCTGCCAGACACCAGCCAGCCGGGCACCAGCAAGGAGCCGGGCGACGGAGCCCCCGGGGAGGGGTGCCCCTGAGCCTTCGACCGCTGAGCGCGGGCAACGGAGCCAAGGCCGGGGGCTGCTTCCTGGGCAGCGCCGACCCTGGCAACAGGCTGAAGCAGCGCAGGAGCCCGCGGAGAACAAAGGGGTGCCACAGGCCAACCTGCTGAGCTCCCAGGACAAGGAGGAAGAAACCAAAGAAGTTCTCAAGGTGAAGAAAACAAGTGAGAGCAAAAGATAGTAAAATTACCTAAGAAAGAATACAAAGAAGATCTTGAAAAATCAAAGACTAAGTCAGAACTCAACTCACCAGCCAACATTGCAACATAAATGCATTAAAAAAAAAAAAAAAAAAAAAAAAGACAGAATGTTGGAACAGCGGTGGCCAGGCACAAGGCAATGGCAGCCGGGCCCAGAGCAGCAACAGCCAGGCCCCAGAGCAGCAGCAGCCAGAACCAGAGCATCAACAGCCAGGCCTGGAGCAGCCAGACCTGGGGCAGTGGCAGCCAGGCCTGAGGCGGAGGCGGCCAAGCCCAGGGTGGCCAGTCCAGGAACACCCAGACCCGGAGTGGCCGGGCCCGGAGAAGCCGGGCCCAGAGCAGCCGGGGTGGGAGCAGCCAGGCCCAGAACAACAGTAGCCAAGCCCGGAGCATCCAGGCTGGGAGCGGCCAGGCTTGGAGTGGCTGGGCCCAGGGCAGCTGGGCCCAGAGCAGCCGGGTCGGGTGCGGCCAGGCCCAGAGCAGCCGGGTCTAGTGAGGCCAGGCCCGGAGCAGCGGCTGCCAGGCTGGGAGCGGCCAGGCCCAGAGCAGCCAGGTCGGGTGCGGCAAGGCCCAGAGCAGCAGCTGCCAGGCTGGGAGCAGCCAGGCCCGGAGCAGCCAGGTCGGGTGCGGCAAGGCCCGGAGCAGCAGCTGCCAGGCTGGGAGCGGCCAGGCCCAGAGCAGCTAGGTCTGGTGCGGCCAGGCCCGAAGCAGCGGTTGCCAGGCTGGGAGCGGCCAGGCCCGGAGCAGCGGCTGCCAGGCTGGGAGCGGCCAGGCCCAGAGCAGCCGGGTCGGGTGCAGCCAGGCCCGGAGCAGCTGGGTCTGGTGTGGCCAGGCCCGGAGCAGCAGCTGCCAGGCTGGGAGAAGCCAGGCCCGGAGCGGCCGGGTCCGGAGCAGCCGGGCCCAGAGCAGCCGGGTCGGGTGTGGCCAAGCCCGGAGCAGCAGCAGCCAAGTCCAGAGCAACTAGGTCGGAAGCGGCAATGACCAGACCCAGAGGAGCTGGTTGTGGAACCAACCAGAGCAACAGAGGCCAGGCCCGGAGCAGCCAGGCCCGGAACAGCTTGCTCCGCGCCTGCCCCTGTCCCATGGCTGCCTCTCAGACATGGCTGGAAACTTTTGCGGGAACTTGAGGGTCTGCTGAATCAAGTGATGAAGGCTTAGATCTGGATGTGTTGAGTTAGTATAGCGCTGGGGTGTTGATCTGTGAGTGCCTTGGGTGGGGCCTGGATGAGGCTGGTTGACCTATTTGGAAATGTCTTTTGTGTGAAGTGTATCATTGGGCATGTGGAGGTATTATTGATATGAGAAAATGCTAAGTAACTGATTTACTATCTGAAAAGGGATTTACTATCGGGGAAAGGGAGGGAGGAAGAGACTGAACATAAACTGTGCACCTATGGATGAGGACAATGGGGGATGGAGAGGGGGCCCAGGGTGGGGTGGGAACCTGGTGGAGGGGGGAAGAAATGAGGAACCTCTGTAATAATATGAACAATAAAGATTAATTTTTAAAAAAAAGAAAAGAAAAAGTAAATGCCAATCAACAGAGAAATACCATAATAAATAATTGTACCTCTTTCTGTGGAACATTATGATGCTCAGATTTGAGCCATTTGAAAAACTAGACTAGAGCTATTCCTGTTAACTTACAGGGATTTCAATAGGTATATTGCGCAATGAGAAAAGAATGAGAGTGTATAGTGCAATGCCATAGTTAACGTACAAGTATACACCTTTATGTATGCATAAAATTTTATAAGCATAATTTTTTAAAAAAAGGGAAATATACATATTGGGTTTCTAACATGTTCTGTTCTAACTTATCTGAACGGAACAAAAAGAGAAGGGCATCTAACAAATAAGATAAAAACAAATAGGCACATCTACTTAATAAAAGAGTAACATGCTAATTGACCAAGGCAGAAAGGCAGCTCCCGCCAAAGTGAAGTTGGTGCAGGCAGCCAGGGGAATGAAGGCCCATTCTTGCACAAATCTTCATTCGTGCATCAGGCCACTAATACATTTTAAGTGCATTTATCAAGTGAAATCATAAGGGTAGGAATATAAACAAAGAGAAATGACATTTTTTAAAAATACACAAAAATGCCTTTTATACTCACATGTGCATCTGAAGATCCAGATGAATGAACATCTGATGATCTTATCTGCAAGTATGAAAAGTAAGTCAATATTAAACAATCAGAAAATGTCTTCCTATACTAACAAAACAAGTGTTTCTCGTACTCAACTTTTCAGACTTAATCTTTCCAAATTTGTAGCAATTTCTTCTCAACTAATAAAACCAAAGGCAAATCTCTAATATGAAAAAGTTGTGATCCAAAAT